CAGGTGGACCGTTAGGGTTGTACAGAAGAATGGTAATGTAAAACAGGAAAAAAAACGCCATTTATGCCATAATTGACTACTTATGTAATAAAACTAGCTCAAAAATACTACTACATGGATTGAGTTTTAGTTCGAAGATTATTCTTAGTTTTGTCTGTGTGGTTCTACTCCAAATAACCGTTCAACACAAGTGAAAGATGATACAAACAGGCCGTTCGAACTCAAAGGTAACCACATGAAATTTACAGCGACTAAGGGAAACAAATTCGGGACTTTGACAACTGACCGCTAAATAAGGCGCCGCTTAATACAGGTTCGATTGTATGATAAACGACGAATCACATAGGAGAATTAGACACAAACAGTTTTTACTATTATAGTGCGTGCAGTGCTGCTTATCAGTTTCGTTTCATTATTTTACAGTGTTTTTCGTTTCCTTTCTGGACAAATATAAGGCAGTTTATTCTCCAGTAAATAAATTTTGCATATATTACAAATGCTGGGGGCAGTTTTTAGCGCGAACTATTACCAGTTAAGTCATATTTTGGGATATTCGCAAGATAGAGGGCTATTTTAATCGGACCGAAATTAAAGATTCATCCTTAAAAAATTATGTACAGGGTAAGAACTTCATCGCTGATCCAGATATGATGTCGTGCAAATTACAAGTTGAATAAGTAAGTTTTATCCCCTGATGTGTTCGGAGAAATAGAAGCATAAACAGTTTTTATTTTTCGTTTTTATTTATCAAGGTCCCTATCATAAACCGTTAACACCATAGTGGCACCCGTAAATCATACAATTTCTTTGTACTTTGTACTGAGTGGTTTTATTTTCAAGCCGCCATTATGTCTGGGAGTTTTCATTTAAAGTTAGAAACCAAGAGCTTCGTACAACATAATTGTCATACATACTTACTTGTTGGGAATCTTAAATTTGGAGAAACTACGTTCTCTGGTGCACGACTCTAAAGGCTTTCTATTACTTATAAGCATAACGAGGACAAAATGAGGCTTTTGTTTACTTCTTCTCAGAAGTTTGGGTCGGATATGGTAAGTAAAACATGAAAGAGGAAACTTTGCTTTTGAAAGGAAGAAGGCTCTTTCTCGGTTAGCGGTTGTCATGCGAGCATGGCGTGGATTTGTCAGCTGTGTTAATTTTACTCTTACAGTCAATTTTCTTTATGATTTTTCGTTATTTCCTGATTATCGATTGTACCAGAATGGTAAACTGATAAGATAGCTCGAGAAAAAACTAAAATGGAGGCAATTTTGAGATCTATTTTGGATGAAATCTTAGAATCCAAACTGACGGCCATCTTGCCAGCCATCTTAGACGCAAAGCTGAAGGCTTACGAGGAATGGATGACCTTCTTCAATACATCTTTTGAAACAATGAAAGTTAAGATGGATAATCTGGAGAAACAAACGAAGACTTTAGCTCAAGAGAACGACCACTTGAGAAGTGATTCTGCTAAAATGACCAAAGAGATTAGCGATTTACGTTCCGCCATCGATGATCAAGCTCAGTACACGAGACGCGAATGTCTCGAAATAAGAGGAGTTCCTGACATCTCGAGAGGATACAAACGAAATTGTGAAGAAAATTGGAACGTTGATTGATGTCGATATTAATGACAGAGATATTTCGGTCAGCCATAGAATTCCTTCAGCTAACAGTGGAGAATCAGGGTCTACCCCAATTAGATATCCCGCCATAGTGGTCAAATTTACCAATCGAAGGATTCGGGATCGTTTCTACAAAGCTAGACCCAAGTTGAAATACTACAATATTAGCGACATTAGACTGGGGCGCCATGGTGAAAGCAATATCTTTATTCAAGAAAGCCTAACGGAAGCAAAAAGAAAGCTGTTGAAGAATTGCCTCAAATTTCATAAAGACCAGAATTATAAGTTTATCTGGACGTATTATGGAGTGATTTATTTGAGGCGTAATGAGCACACACCAGCGTCACGTCTCACATCAGTTGGGGATTGGGAATGGCTGCAACCACGACGATCAACATCTGAATCAACCAGTACAGCAACTACTGAAGTATCTTCCCAACCAAGCTAAGTGCAAGAAAGTAACTGTTGTCTAAATGACTTAAGATTAGATACTGGTAGATGCCCATGTGCTATCTGCGATAAGTTAATTAGGAGTAACGGGAGGAAATTGAAATGTAATCTTTGTTATCACCTTAATTGCACATGCCTTACTTTAGCTGATTACAAGTACTTTAAGTCCAGTACCCTTGGGTGGAACTGCCAGATATGCTGCCAATCAACTTTTACATTTCACTCAATTGATGATAAAGAGCTTGTCAAGCTGTCCTACAATTCCAATTTAAGCTGGTTGTGCTCAAAGAATAGTGTAAATGCTATTCTAGAAGATTTACCGGTGCTTCAGACTACACCTAACATTGGTAATGATTTGCATTTCTCAAGCCGTTTGTCATTTTTTTTGTGAATATTTAATTATCTTAGCGCAACGCGGCAAAAATAGATCAGGTGGCTAATTATTTAAAAACCTAGAAGTTCGTTACGCAACTTACATTTCAAAAGTGTCACCACAGATCGCACTTCGAAGCTTACTAGCCGCATATGGAACACAAATTGTAAGTATAATATTTTTCCCATCGCTTCAACCGAAATCGACATGTGTAATAACCTTCTTTGTCATATTAATTTAATTTTTCAGTTGACTATATTACTACAAGTGCAAATAAATTCCATGTACGGTCATGTACGCAAAAATCAGTTAGTGGTGAAATCTTCAACGTAAAGTAGCCCTTCAATCACAGGAGCGAATCAGTCAAAATTTGTTGCAGAAGATTACGCCGAGTTACTAACTACCGCCAAGCTTCGCATTTAAATTCCGCTCACAATGCCGCCGAAGGTAGACGTGAAAACTCTCGCGGGAAAACTGGACAATGCCGTCAAACTCTTGTACGAATTAATGGAAGAATTCGAAACAATTTTCTCCGTAAAACCGGAACTAAAAACACTTGAAGCAACATTCAGTTTAGTAGAAACCAAGTACAGGCTGGTCAAGAAACAGCAGGAAACAATTCTGGATAGACTGGTCGACGAAGGCACTGGCCCAGAAGACGAACTCGTGTTAGCAACAAAGAAAGCTGGAGACAAAACCAAAGCTGATTTCCTTCAAATCACTTTAAAGTTTGCTGCATATCAAAAGGAACAAAACTCCTCAGAAAATTCTAACAATGCGACAACTCTGGAAGCGCTAACATTATCAATGTCGTCCATGACGTCGGCGGTGCAGAAAATGGCCGATAACATCGGATCAAAACCGTCAAACTCAAGTTTACAACGATTACCTGTACCAGTATGGGACGGAACTCGCAGAACCTATGCCACGTGGAAAAAGGAGTTCAGCCATTGGATGAAGAAATACGGTCAGGATAAAGATGAACAATTGCAACGTTTTCGAAATGCAATGCCAAAAGGATCGTTCTGGACCGACCAAGTAAAAACTTGTAAAACCATTGACAGCGCGTGGATCATTTTGGATACAGAGTTCGCAGACAGACGAAAATTAATGGACGAACTGCACACCGAGATTAATAATCTTAAAGCAGTCAAAGGAGATTCTAAGTCCCTAACGCATTTCGCTACGACAATAGCCTGTTATGTAAGTGACATGGAAGATAATATTGGGTGTCCTGTGCTGGAGTCAGTTGAAGCGCCGTTCCTCATGTCCCAGCTTCTGTCCAAACTCGATCCAAGTGACAATTCAGATTTTGGTAGAGAAATGAAAAGAGAAGGAAAAGAAGAAACCGTGAGCAATCTAATCACCTGGTTACATCAAGAAGCGAGTATTCGTTCCCGAGGGAAAGCGAACACCAACACAGTGGAAAGAAGCGAAATTCGCCGAGACAAAAGTCCCAAAAAGACAGAAAATAACGCCGCTAACAGCGAGGATTCTGACGATGAAACATGTCCTCTTGGCTGTAAGACCAAACATCACCTGGCTGCATGTCCTAAGTTTCAGATTCTAACAGTCAATCAAAGGTGGGAGGTTGTAAAGCAACATTGGCGATGTCGCAAGTGTCTGAGAGCGCATCACACAAACGATTGCAAGAAACCAGACGGCTCAACCTGCGACAAATGTAGAAAAAACCATCACCGGTGCCTACATAATGAGAAGACTGGAGAAACTAACACAAGTTTGAATCCCAAAGCACCACCGTTTCAAAGTCAGTTCCAAGGGCCCACACCTACATCGAATGGTAACATCCAGGGGAATGCTGTGTACCAGAAAAGCAAGTTGAAACCTGTTACTGGACTTTGCCCTGTGCAAAAAGTTAAAGTCATGGACAAAAATGAAAACTTTGTCGAAGTTCTCGCCATGTTGGACTCCGGGTCTAACACAAGCCTACTCTCCAAAAGTGCAGCTGGTCGACTTGGCTTAAATGGAGCAGCAACACGTCTCACTATGAATCTGGCGGGTGGAAAGAAGAAAAGCGAACCTTCTGAGATAATCGATGTCACGGTTGCCTCGCCCTCTGACGAAGATATTACGAAGACCCTTCAAGTGTATACCGTAACTAGACCTTGCAGTAGTGCCAAAACAATTTCTAAGGAGTCAGTGAGACAATACAGCCATTTGAAGAACGTTTCCGATAAAATACATCTCTCGGGTGGTGCCATAGATCTCCTTATTGGCACAGACTTCGTAGAGGCCTTCATTGATATTCACACAGTGTCCGGAGAACCTGGAGAGCCCATCGGGAAAAGAAACTGTTTTGGATGGTACGTTCTGGGACAGTTCGAGTCAAGCGGCTCCACTCTATCTGAAATTCAGTCAATAGAAGTAGGGACAGTGAGTGTCGAGGAAGATATCAAGAAACTTCTGCACCAAGACCTCCTTGGAGTCAAACCAACCAAACTCTGTACTTGAACGTGTTACGTGAGAGCAAGTTCGTGAAGTCCCTCGCAGCTTCAACTACCTTGGTCGACGGGAGAATACAAGTGAAGATGCCCTGGAAAGAAGGAGGGCCTCCAAAACGAAGCAACTACGACATCGCTCTGAAGAGGATGCTCTCCGCTGAAAGGGGGTTTATGAAAAAGGGTTGCTTCGAGGTCGTAAAAGAGGAAGTGCAAAAGTTGTTAGACCAGAACTTTATCACAATGATTCCACCTGAACAAATTGCTCATGATAAACCCGAATGGTACCTCCCATTGCAAGCAGTGTTTACGCCAGAAAGAACCACAAAAGTTCGACTAGTCTTTGATTCATCTTCAAAAGGTCATGATGGATTGTCCCTCAACGATTACCTTGAGAAAGGACCTAACTTCATCAATAGTCTTCTGGATGTACTGGCAGCATGGCGATGGGACGAAGTGGCGTTCACTGGTGACGTTCGTAAAATGTTCAACCAAATCCTGGTATATCCTGAGGATCAGGTGTACCACAGGTTTCTTTGGAGGAGCAACACACGTGACAAACCAACTGTTTACCAGTGGCTAAGACTGAACTTTGGTGATAAACCGGCCCCTGACGTCGCAACTAATGCTATCAACACGCTAGCCAAGCTTTCGAACGCAGAATTCCCGGAAGCTGCAGGAGAAATCCGACAGCATGTGTACGTGGATGACATCGGTGGCTCCAGAGAAACAGTAACCAAGGCAAAGCAGATTATCAGCCATATCGACGCTGTCCTCGCGAAAGGCAACTTCCAGATCAAAACTTGGCATTCCAATGAGGCAGAAATCGACCAATCCAACGGTGAACGGTTCACGGATCTTCTCGGCCTAAGCTGGGATAAACAGCTAGACACGTTCACCTTCAAAAAGAATGACCTCGGAGAACTGGATGTCCTGACAAAGAGGCGCTGTTTAGGTCTTGTTGGTCAGTTATGGGACCCCATCGGTCTTGTGCTGCCCGTCGCAATCAAGTTCAGAATTGACCTGCAAGGATTATGGAGTTCAGGTTACAGCTGGGACGACATCCTTCCCGAGAGTATTCAGCAAACATGGTTAGAGAATGTCCAGTCCATAAATGATCTCCTGTCATTTCAGTTTGACCGCAAGCTAAAACCAAAGAACGCAGTGGGCGTGCCTCAAATTCACGGATTCTCCGATGGTGGTGAGCAGGCTTATGGTGCGGTCATCTTCCTACGGTGGAAACTTGCTGGCGGAGACTATCGTAGTGTTCCAGTCACGATAAAGGCTTTCGTCGCACCTCTGAAGAAGAAGAGCATCCCGAGATTAGAACTGTTGGGCTGTTTAGCACTTGCACGCATGTACGTTACATGTGTAAAAGCATTGGAGTTCGCAAAAGCCCAGGACTGGGAAAGATTCTTCTGGATCGATTCATCAACCGTTTTGTCCTGGATCAGAACGCCACCACGGGAATTCAGGCCTTTCGTATCTGCCAGAGTGGCTGAAATTCAAGAGACAATTGGGGCAGACCAAATACGCTACATCAAGTCTAACAACAACCCCGCAGATGCTCTAACGAGAGGAATCCATCTTAATCATCTCATGAAGTGGTCAGAGGGACCATCCTTCCTAGAGTTGCCAGAAGAAAAGTGGCCCAGCGCTCAAGACCACACCCGAGTTAACACTCATGTGGACGACCTCGACGCTTTAAGAGAGAAGAAAACGTTTCGGAAAGAGAAGAAAGCCGGTAAACATCACAGTGCCGCCGCGGAAGTATGTCCTGAACTAGATCAACCTGGATTTGAAGAAAATCCTATCCTTTTACACTTGCTGAAAACGTGTTCTACGTACTCCAAGATACGGAGAACTCTAGCCTACGTCGGTCGCTTTATTCACAACGCTCGGAAAATGAACCCAAAGTCAGGGCCCATTTCAGTTCAGGAACTGAAGGCTGCCGAGACCCATCTTCTGAAGTGGAGTCAATTTCACGTCAACGAAGACAGCTTGGATAAGAAACTGGTAGCAAAGAAGGATGAAGATAGCCTTTTTCGTGCGCATGGTCGACTTGAAGATGTCAGATGTCTCCCGGAAGAGTTGAGAAAACCTATCATCTTGCCAAAAGACCACCCCTTTGTGATCTTGCTTCTGCGTGACCTCCACGAACGACGTGGGCATTGTGGCTATAAGAGTTTAATCCACGAGGCCAGAAAAAGATTCTGGATCATTGGACTCCGCAGAATGGCTAAGACCGTCACCTCAAAGTGTGTCATATGCAGAAAACTACGGAAAAGGCCTCTCAACCAGCTCATGGGACAGATTCCAAACCTAAGAGTAGCAGCTGGCTTCCCGGCATTCTCAAACACTGCTATGGACATGTTTGGGCCAGTACAGATCAAGCTCGGCCGCAAAACTCTGAAAGAGGCACAAGTGATCATCTTCGCTTGCATGACATCACGTGCGATTCATCTTGAGCTGGTCACCGATAAAACTTCAGACGCATTCTTAATGGCCTTTCGACGGTTTGTCTGCCTACGCGGACACCCTAATGTTTGCTGGTCAGACCGTGGTACAAATTTCGTGGGTGCCCAAGGCTACCTAAAGGAAATCACGCAGAACTGGGATATTCCTGGGGTAAAGAGTGTCCTCTCTGATAAATTTAGCTGCGAGCTCAGATGGGAATGGAATACACCACATGCGAGTCACCAAAACGGAGTTGTTGAAACCCTAATTAAGTCAGTCAGACAAGCATTTAACGCCACTTGCAAGAACCAAGCCTACTCCGAGGAACAATGGAGAACAATTCTGTCAGAAATCACCTACATGGTCAACGGACGACCGCTGTACCCCAGTTCCGACGATATCTGGGAGGCCCCACCGATCACTCCAAACGACCTACTTCTAGGCCACTACAATCCACCACCACAACCAGAACCAGAGGAAAGAACCAATCCGCGACAATTACTCAGGAGCGCCCAAAACAGAGTTGCTGATTTCTGGAGGAGCTGGATGAAGTATTTCGCCCCAAACTTGTTACCAAGGAACAAGTGGTTTCGCGTGCGAGATAACATCCAGATCGGTGATCTTGTATTGGAGCTGGACCCCAAACACAAAAGATGTGAATGGAAAATGGCGCGTATTGTAGGCACATATCCTGGAAACGACGGACTTGTCCGAAAAGTGAGAATCAAGACAAGAGACGGAGAGTATGACAGACCAATTCACAAGTTATGTCTCATAGCCACTCAAGACGAACTGAATGCGGATTGCTCAAGCTAGTCGATAGTAGAAATGGACTCTAACACCATTTTCTGACACTTCTTTATTGAACATTGAACACTTAAGCCATTATAGTCGTTGCTCAATTAGAACTAATTATTTAGACCTAATTTCCGCACTGGGGCGGAGTGATTTGCATTTCTCAAGCCGTTTGTCATTTTTTTTGTGAATATTTAATTATCTTAGCGCAACGCGGCAAAAATAGATCAGGTGACTAATTATTTAAAAACCTAGAAGTTCGTTACGTAACTTACATTTCAAAAGTGTCACCACAGATCGCACTTCGAAGCTTACTAGCCGCATATGGAACACAAATTGTAAGTATAATATTTTTCCCGTCGCTTCAACCGAAATCGACATGTGTAATAACCTTCTTTGTCATATTAATTTAATTTTTCAATTGACTATATTACTACAAGTGCAAATAAATTCCATGTACGGTCATGTACGCAAAAATCAGTTAGTGGTGAAATCTTCAACGTAAAGTAGCCCTTCAATCACAGGAGCGAATCAGGTAATATTCCACACTTATCTAATTCTGACCCTGAATCTAACACACCTTCCAAAGTTAATTTTAATTATGTTGATATACATAAATTTCACAATTCACCTGAAATTAGTAGTTGTTCAAACAAGGCATTTTCACTCCTCAATTGTAATATAAGAAGTACCCAAGCAAACTTTGATAACCTAATGCAATTGTTAAATGATTTAAATTATCCTTTCCACATAATAAGTTTGTTGGAGACATGGCTTAATAGCTCCAATGAACAAATCTCTAATCTTGATCTGCTTGGCTACTCATTCCTCTCTCAACCCACTGCACAGAGGGCAGGTAGAGTTGGTATGTATATTAATAATGGTATTCAATATAGTGTTAGACATTATCTTACCTTATGTCACCAAGTTCTAACAAGGCTTGTGGCCCATTTAGTATTTCAACCTCCCTTCCTAAGACTTTAAAAGGCGTTTTACCAATCCCTCTTCAGCTGCTTTTTAATTACTCATTTCCTACTGGTTTGGTGCCTGATCAATTTAAAGTAGTCAAAGTAGTTCCAATTCACAAAAAAAGGTCCAGTTTTTTAGTCTCCAACAATAGACCTATTTCCTTACTCTCCATATTTAATAAAGTAATTGAAAAATTAATGTATAATAGTATTTTTAGCTATCTTGAGAAATTTTGTATTCTACACAATAATCAGTTTGGCTCTAGATCAAAGCATTTGACCACCCATGCTCTTCTCCTCTTGACCAATAAAATACAAAGATCAATCAATATTGGCACCTACTCTTTTTTTTTTCACATTTTCTTAGATCTATGTAAAGCATTTGATACAGTTGACCATAGAATTATATTAAAAAAAGTTGGAGTATTATGGCATATGAGGTGTTGTAAATGATTGGTTTGCATCTTATTTAAGTAACAGAAGACAGTTTGTCTCTTTGTTTGGTACTAATTCTGACTACCAAACTGTTACATGTAGAGTACCACAGGGGTCAGTGCTTGGCCCACTTCTTTTTCTTTTATACATAAATGCTCCAATATCTTAGAATTTCACCTTTTTGCTGATGATACAAACCTGTTTCTTAATAGTCCTAACATTCTAAATCTAGAAACCAACTTAAATGTAGAATTAGAAAAGATAAGCCAGTAGCTACATGCTAACAAATTATCTTTGAACATTGAAAAAAACAGCTTTGTGGTATTCCATTCTCCAGAAAGAAGAATAGCTCATAAGTTGAATATTAGTATCTCCAATACATCTGTTAAATCGGATAATCAAGTTAAATATTTAGGTCTCATTTTTGGCTCCAATTTGAACTGGAAACCATACTTACACGAATTGAGCAAGAAGGTTTCCAGAGGTATTGGAGTACTATCTAAAGTTAGATGTTATGTAAACAGAAACATATTGCATCAATTATATTATTCAATTATTTACCCCTTCTTCACCTATAATTTATCAATTTGGGGGAATACTTATAGTTCTACTCTTAAACCTTTAATAATTCTTCAAAAGAGAGCTATACATACCATAACTTTCTCAAAACCAGATGAACAATCTGAGCCTCTCTTTAAGGAATTAGAGATTCTTAAATTAACTGATCTTGTTATCCTTCACAATGCACTTTTTATGTATCACCATTACTATAATCTTCTACCACCTTTTTCAAACAGTAGCATCCATGCACTCTTACAATACCAGGTTTGCTTCTAAATCAAGCTATTATATTTTAATATTAGTATTGATGGTATTAAAATACCATCAAAACGAACGGATCAATATTTGTTTCTGGGCAACCGAGCTCGAAATAGGTGACTCGAGCTCGAAAGCCTATCCGAGCTCGAGTCACAACTCGACTAGAAGGATCCTGAGCAACCGAGCTCGATATAAGTGACTCGAGCTCGAAAGCCTACCCGAGCTCGAGTCACAATCTTTGTAATCGAGCTCGAATCAAATCGAGTTCGATTTGGTAATCGCGCTCGAATCAAATCGAGCTCGTGTCCGACCGAGCTGAATAATATTTGTTCCTGGGCAACCGAGCTCGATATAGATTTTTCTGGCAGGGGGAGGGAGGAGGGGGAAGTGCAGATCATGCTCGATATAAGGGGAAGAGATAATAGAGAGAGAAAAATTTAAAAAAATATTAGGTTTTTCCTGTCTCATGTTTTTTCTTAAGTTTAAAACAGCATTTGGACAGAGAACAATTAATTATTGAATGGTTTCCTCATGCAGCCAGTTGGACGATTCTTTTAAACTTTGTTACTCAATCTAGGTTTTAAACGCAGATTAAGAAGTGAGCACCTGGAACGGTTCTTGCGGTCCTAGTCCTTAAGCTTGCAATCACCAGCTTTTTAGACATCTAGATCTAAAATTTTTACATTATACATTGAATTAAAGCTTGCAACAACCAAATTTTTAATGTTAAACTCTAACCACCAGATTTACACGTAAGATTCACATTGTTCATTTTTACAAGTTACTTAAGTGATTAACGGACTTAAGCAAAAATTTGAGTGAGACGAAAAAAAAGGGGGGTTTTCTAAAGTTTTAAAGAGTCCAATCGCTAGAGTGGGTCGTGTCTTGTTCCACGGAGGAGTGACCGAGAGGCTGGTATCCAAGGAGCAGCGCATCTACACTCTATTGCAGAAGCTCAAAGACGCGACTGGTTAATGAAGTTTGGGATTAACGGACTTAAGCAAAAATTTGAGTTCGCTGCCACTATAAAAAAATCTCGGGAAGCAGGCGAATGTAAAAATTGAAATGTTAACTATTCGGTATCAGTTTTCTTACGACACCGTTATCGAGCTCATTGTAATGCAGGAACTAGCTAAGAACGCTTTCTTACACTTGTGTATCGCCCATAAATGGGTTCTCTATTCTTTCTTATTTCGTGGCTGCTAAACTACCGAAAATTACGAAACTTCGTGACCAGATGATGACGCAACTTTTTTGGGTCTTAACCTCTCTTCCCCTCAGCCCCTTCCCCGTTAATATGAGAATAATCCAGAATATTTAAAAGAGATATGGTAAGGGATGGGACATTCATTTTATTGTTGAAACAGGTGTATGTTAGTGTCTAACAAAATGCTCTCCTCCTTTGACGTTCCCTTTCTACCACATATTTAAAGATAACTTTCAACATGCCATTGTAAAGTGCACATGTTATTTGCAAAATTTATTAAAATTCATAATTGATAAATACGCATGATTACCAGCTGATTAATCATAACCACTAAATACTTAATGGATAAAAAAACATGAACATAAATAGAATACAAACTATTTTAAACACTTGCATTAATTTTTTAACCCTCTAACCCCTAGAAGGGATAAACATGAAACTTCTCCCCAGAATATCCTTACATTATCCAACAAATAGGTAATGAGAATACTCATGTTTATCAGGTAGAAATTGTCATCTTGATCCAATACCCAATTTGCATAAGCTATCTACAAGGAATTGTGTAGCAGCTTGAGGGGACAATTAAGAAACAGTTTCAAAAGATTGAGAGTTAACTTTTAATTAACAACTGCCCTACATCTGTTGAATGTGATACAGCACAACAACAATAATTTATATTTTTCTTTGATCAAAATTTATAAACATGCATGATTACTTAGTGAGTAATTATAACCACTAAATACTTAATGAATAACAAACATTAACATAATTAAACAACAAACTAGTTTAAAAACTTGCATTCATTTTTTCACCCTTTGACTCCTAGAAGTGATTAACCCTTTAACTCCCAGATTGAATTTTTAATTCTCCTTACTATCAACTATACAATTCTTATGATGTTAGGTCAGAGAATTTAGTATTGATCAACTAATTAACCCAAAATTGATATTCTTCTTTGGTCTCTTCACTTATCTGGTTGATATTGTATTAATATTGTAGGGAGAAATTCTGTCTGGGTCACTCGTGGCAGTTAAAAGGTTAACAACTTCTTCCCATAAAATCCTTATGTTATCCAACAAATAGGTAACAAGAATACTCAAATTTATAAACATGCATGATTACTTACTGAGTAATCATAACCACTAAATACTTAATGAATAACAAACATTCACATAATTAAATTACAAACTAGTTTAACCCTTTAACTCCCAAGATCTGATTGTTAATCCTCCCCTGTAGCTGCTACACATTTCCTTGTGAATTAGTTATGAGAACTTGGTGCTAGATCAAGATAGCAGCTTCTACCTGATAAGTTTTAATATTCTCTTTACCTGTTTGCTGGAGAATGTATGGATATTGTAGGTAGAAGTTTTATGTGAATCACCACCGGGAGTTAAAGGGTTAAAAACTTCCATTAATTTTTTTCACCCTTTAACTTCTATAAGTGATTAAGAAGTAACTTCTCCCCATAATATCCTTACATTATCCAACATCTGACTACTTCTTCAACTTCTTCCTTTGGCAGCCAGTTCTTTTTTCCCTTTTTTTCTTTTCCCCTTTGGCATTGATTTCCTTTATTTCTTCTTTTTCTA